GCTGCCTACTCGGGGCAGGATGCACGGTGTGTCGCGGTGGCTCAGTCTGAGAGTTAAACTCGGTGGTGGAAATTGGCCGGAAGCTTGTGTTTCGGAATGCCTCTGAATGCAATGTGGCCCCTGCCAGGGCGGAGGGCTCCCAGCTAGTCACCTGGACGGGCAGACTTTGGCCTGTGTAGGGGCCTGCTTGACGGAGTCCCTTGGGAGGCAATCCTGGAGGAGAGGGGAGTCCAGGAAGGCTGGGCGTTCTTCAGGAAGGAAATCTTCGGGGCGCAGGGGCAGGATATCCCCATGTGCCAAAAGGATGGGGCTGATGGGAGACTGCCTGGCACAGGGTACTCAGCCGTATTCCTACAGCAGGAACTACAGCAGACTCCTTGCCTGCCTTGTCTCTGTCTGTTCCTAAGGGATAATTTAGAAGGAGACTGCATTTCTCTGAGCAAAATAAAGGGAATTTGTAGGTCTCCGAGGCCAGCATGAGCTGGGTCAGGCTGTAATCTGCTAGACATTGAGGAAAAAGAGCTCATCAACATCACAGAAAATACGATAAACCATTTTGCTATCTGACCTAGAGAAGAGTTACGCTGATAACCCTGCCTAATGGGATTTATGAAGACTCGTTATCAATGGGGTTTTTTCCTAATTAGTTTGTTGCTTATCAAGTTATCTCTGTCAGTACTTGTAGGCATCTTGCTGTTTTGTATAGCCTTGGAAAGTTTCGTTTAGGGAACAACACCGACAGGGAGTACCACCACCACCTTAAAACTCCCTTCACTAGTTCCCGTTGCCACAGAAAGTTTGAGGGTTTCTTTGGAAAGGGAATAATCAGTTGGTATGCACTGAACTTGCAGGGCTGAGTTTGTCACACCCTGATAAGATCTTCCCAAAGCTCTGACCGTGTGTCCTGTGACAGTAACACCAGCCTCAATGAATCAAAATCTAGTTGAACCAATTTTGAGTTGTTTTTTAAAAGCCTGGTTTGAAATTATTTTCCTAAGAAAGCGGTAAAGGAATTTTTTCATAGTTTCAAAATCACCAATAAACAAAATCAATAGTAAATAGAAAATGAAAGCTACAGATCTTCAGGCTCTCCTGAAGCATTGGGTACCCACGGCAGGTGGTGTCCAGAGGAGACTCAAGCCTGGGACTGATTTGGGGGGTATGAAGACAACTGCACCAGTACGTGAGTGAGTCTGTGGGAGGTGACTGAGCTGAACAGTGAAAACAGGGAGTAATCAGGCTGGGTTTATGCCCTTGACAGAGGCATCTCTGCTAAGAACACAAACAGCTTACATTTTGCCTCCAGGCAGTGGAGAGAGGGGAGCTGCTTACAAGTGCTTGTGACCTAGGAGTGCTTGCAGCATCTCTGCTCTTGAGAGGGGTGAGCTGCTGCACCCAGGCTTGCCCGAAGTCACGCGGGGGGTCTGTGCAATAGCATCTGTACTTCCTGTGTGCCGTCCCGGCTGCAACTCAGCCGTCTCCATGCTCGTTTATCCAGCAGTAGCAGTCAAGGCAGGGCTGTGTCCTGGAGGAATTGCAGGGAACAAATCTCCCTAGCATCCATGAGGGCCTACGGGGATTCTCTTGGGCCTGATGTCGGCTGAAGCTCTAAGTGCCTTAAAGACAACATGAATGAAGTTTTCTGTCAATAAATCTGCGTGCAGCTTTGGAGAATTTTGGATCCAGTGCACTCGCTTGCAGGCAGCCAGCTGGCATTATCCTGTTGAAGGATGCACTGAGTTGCAACATTAAGTGAAGTCCTATGACTTTACCATTTCTGTTGTGTAACAAATTATTTCACCCGTAACTGTAAAACCGACATTGCAAACTTATTTGCCATAAAAATGGAATAAATGGGTCTAATCCATCAAAATACATAGAGGGTTGTTTTGCTTTGCTTTGATATTTAAGAACTAGTCTTTAAATTGCTTATTTACAAAGAAATGTTTGTGGGTGTCTCTATGAAGGAAACTAAAATGTCTTAAAGGTGTTCCTGGGCTGTTTGCTTTGGGAAATACGGTCCTGCTTGGCTGTGTGTGACTGCAGTGTGATCTTTCCATTCTGCACGTGGGGTAACTTCCCTCTGCGGCATGGTCTCGGTGCTAACTTCACAGCTGTTTTTGTAACCAGGGGACCCTGTTGTAGGCTGATGGCCCAGGCATTGTCTTCTGCCAAGGCTTTCTGAAAAACAGGAAGCCAGCCTCCTCAGATGAAGGTACAATGGCCTCTGTGCTCTGCTCGGCTGAATCCAGGCGCCGCTGAAAATGAAAGAAGAGAGACAGGGAAAAATACTGCTTCATCTCTTTTCATTTCCAAATTTTGATGAAATATGGTGATTGGCTTTCCAAAGAGAGAACTGTGTGGAATTTGCTGTGCCTGAAGTCTTGTTGGTGAAATCTATGTGACAACATTTTAAGAAGCGGCATCCTTAATCACTTAGAGAGGTACTGCAGTGATTTGCCAGCAGGTAAATGGGATTAGATCTCGATGGTGATTCTGACTTATGTGAAGTGGAATGAATAAGACCTGCAGACTTGAAAGAGGAGAACGTTTCTTCCCCCTTTTCCATTACATGTCTTCAGGAATTCTTTCCTGTCTCCTATTCAGTTGGATACATCCCCGTACGCCATCTCTGCCTCTTATGAGTTAAGAAAGAACAAAGGAAATTGTTTAAACTTGAGTCTTTTATATTTCTGTGCATAACATGAAAAGGACATCAGCAGAGATCTCCACATGGTTCATTTTCGTCTGCCACAGAGCAGAGCGGGATGAGCAGACAGGGTAAGTCCTTTCAGCTGCTAGCGTTGCTCTCCCAGGGACAATTCCCATTTAACCAATTCCTCCTCCCAATCTCTGTGGCTTTCCAAGAGGATGCCTGGCACGCGGTAGGCCCTACCGTGCTACTCGGCTGGTGGGTTTGCCGTAACGTGGGACGTTGGGGCTGTGAAGGTCTGTATTCAGTGTTTATTGCAAATACATTGCAAGAAATCCAGCAGTAATACTCAAAATTCTCAGAGCTCTGAGCCATACTCGCTGTTTGTTTCACTGGCCCCAGGGCTTCCAGGGGAAGTGTCAGCAAGCTTTACACCAAACAGTTATTGGAAGAAGCTGGATGCTGCCTCACTCAGCCTTGTGTAAGTGGGAAAAATTGGGGGACTGTGAGCTTGGCCAGTTCTCACTGCGAAATTCACTCTATCTTCAAGGCTGTGGCTCTTTCTTCCTACGCCAGAAATGCCAGCAGCAAGGCCGCAGGGCAGCGCTGACGCTGCTAGTGTTTGGGAACGTGTCCGAGCTGCGGGGGACAGAGGGGCAGTGCCGCATCGAGAGGTTCCGGGCAAAATACCCGCTGCCTCCAGGGTGCTGCCCTGTTTCAGCAGAGGAGGTGGGACCTCTGGGTAACTGGGACCTCCTGCTCCAAAGTGACTGTTTGGGTATGTACACCGAGAAAAAACACTGTTTGCTCATGTGCTTCCCCCGGCAAACGTAATAGATGATCTCAGAATATGCTGTCTTGGTGAGAAATCCCTGACACTGCAGCTCAGGGTAGCAGCCTTTTCCACGCTGCTGGGGAGAGCCTGGTCTGGAGGACATGAAGTGGATGCTGTTTCCCTCTTATTTGTAGGCGTGGTTTCCGCAGTCAGCACGAAGAGATGACGATAGCCTTGTTCTTAACTCTCTGCCAGGTTAGATCTCGTGGTCAGAATAACTGGAAGTGTCTCCTGAGCAAGGATCACATCAGTGCGGAGGAGGTTACTCAGCACAGTTGCTCTGTAAGCTGGGGCTGAGCATGTCTCACCGTAACAAGGCTCCCCCTGACCGAGTTGAGGGAAGGAGTGGGCTCTTCATGAAAGAACAAGCAGCAGAAAAGGAACACTCGTCATCAAGTAACCCCCTTGGGAAGGGGAAACACAATGTGAATGACAACAGCCCTTAGTGCACGATTAGTATCTGGGCCTGGGTACTTCTTGTTATCGCATCACTGCATCCAGGATTAACATCCCAGGATTTGCAAAGGCTTTTCCTGCCTACAAGTGCTCCCTCTATCAGCCAGCCGCAGCAAAGGCAGAGGATGCAGAGCAGCTGCACTTGTTCATGAGCAGCTAAACGTTTATTTGGAGGGACATTTGATAAAGGGAGAAATATTTCGGGTCAACTCAGATTGGTCTGCTACTGAGAACTGATAACCTGAATATTTTCTGATGTGCGTGGTGTAACCCTCCTATAAAGTGTTTGTATGTGCATTTCCCTCTGAGTGCCACCTCTCTAGTGCTCAGCCAGGAGACCTCAGCAGTGGGCATGCAGGAAAGGGCGGGCTCCTCTGATTTTTGCAAACTTGTCTTACAGCTCTGCAGACCAGGTGACTGTGCATTTTATAAATCAGGATGGAGAGCGACTTACGGCCAAGGCCAAAGAAGGGGAGAGTTTGATGGAGGTGGTAGTCAATCAAAATTTGGCCATTGATGGATTTGGTAGGTGTTGCACTAAAGGTATGTGCTCTTAGGGTTTGTGTGTCTGTGCTGTGACCAGTGGGTACCTGGGAACAGTGCCGCAGTGTTCTGGTGAGACCACGACACAAGCTTCTCCCCCCCAACAGCTGCTTGCTAGGCTGCCTTACCACGCTGAGACGGCAGTGCGGCTTCCACGCCGTCACTGTGGGGATTTCAGCAGCCTGGGTCAACGCATTTGGTTGGTCAGAGTTGATGTACAGATTTGAAAACTGATTGTGATCCTCCCAGAGAAGAGACAGGCTGAAATCCTGCATCCCTCCGTTGTGTGTTGTGGCATCTCTTTTGACATACTCCATACCTGTTAAAGGACCTTTTCTCACGGTGTTCTGCCAGATGATCTCTCTCCCCCTCTTGTTTTTTCTGATTTGCTGTCGCTCCCTCATTTCTCCGTCAGGTGCATGTGAAGGGACATTAGCCTGCTCCACTTGTCACCTCATCTTTGAGAAGGACACCTACCAAAAGCTGGATGCCATCTCAGAGGAAGAGCTGGACATGCTGGACTTGGCGTACGGACTCACAGAGACGTAAGCCTCCCTGCTGACGGCAGCAGGTCCTCAAGCCGCGGGCAGCTTCTCAGCAGCTGGTGCCTGTTTCCAAGGGGACAGGACTTCTCTGGATTATGGCTGGGCCTCTACAGCTGCTCCTTCTTAGAGCACGAGACCTTTAACAGGAGCTTCAATGAAAACCCAGCCTGGACCAGGCATCCCGGGGTGGGTGGGGAATTTCTTCCTTTACTGTGGGAAGAGATGAGCCTCACCTAATGTTTTCTTCGCAGATCTCGCCTTGGCTGCCAGGTGTGTGTTAAGAAGTCGATGGATGGTCTGACGGTGCGGGTCCCCATGGATATGACAGATGTGAGGAAGCAACTGGAGGTTGGAAAGAAAAGCAAAAAGTAACTGGAAACGATTCCTGCACAACTCACATCCTCGTTTTAGGTGGGGCAGGGTACTCTGCTTTTGGGTAATGCTGTTGTTCTTTGGAGCTGGCTTGCAGTAGACCACAGGGATCTGATTCAGTATAAATGCCTGTTTGGCAAATCTTTTATTTAAACAAAGCTTAACGCTGGGTTCTTTGTTACATGCTGGGAGCTGAGCACTTAGGTGCTCTGTTGAGTGCAGCTGAACTGAAGCGTATAGCTTTACGTTTTCCTGGGCAGGTGACAGTAAACATCTGTGCTGTATGTGACTCGCCCTTTCCTTCGAAATTTAAGGAATTCTACTATTCTAAGTAACTGCTGGGAGTTTTGCAAGGCTTGCCTCTTTAACTGTAGAACAGATTTTTCTCAGTTTGGGAAGTTTAAGAAGAGATAGCTGTTCCAAATCCAAGACGGTGTGCTGTTCAGTTTGATGATGCAGGCTGAGTTTGCTTAGCAAGAACACACCGATAACCATTCCAGTGCTGACGTTTCCTGTAAGAGGGACCTGCTTTCTATCAATTTGAGATGTTACGTGCCACTGAACCAGTATGTGCCATGATCTGCTACTTCCTCCAAATATTAAATTTTCCCATTGCTGTACTACCATTATGTGAAATAAAATTCAAATAATCTGGCTTTTAGACCTGTGATACGCATGTTTCTGGTAACGTGAGCCTGGTTGGAATAGGATGAGTTTTATGGAAATTTAGGTATAACATCCTGTTGCCCCGGTTTACTTGACTGGATTTGTTTGAGTGGATGTGTCATACTTGCCATCTAAATCTCGTAGAGAACCCATGAGCTGTAACAGAGTTTTCCAAATGGAATTCAGCACAGAAACCTTCCCTATGGATGTAGTTAAAACCCAGGCTATGTTTAGCAACCCATTTAAACCAACAAGTCCTTAGGCAACGTATCAACCCCATCACATCGGGTCTGGCAGAGATGGGGTTAGTTTTCCCCGAAACAGCCATCCTAGTGCTGTGCTTTTTATTGGTAGCTGGAAGGGTGTTGGTAGCACACCGGTGTTTTGGCCATGGCTGAGCAGTGCTCACACAGCATCAAGGCTGTCTTTCCAACACTCCCCCTCATCAGTGTGCTGGGGGTGGGCACAATCTTGGGAGGGGACAGAGCCAGGACAGCTGACCCCAACTGACCAAAGGGCTATTCCATACCGTATTATGTCTGCCCAGCAATAAAACCCAAGAGAAAGGAGGAGGCGGGGGCATTCGTTATTACGATGTTTGTCTCCTGGAGCAACTGCTACAGGTACTGGAGCCCTGCTTCCTGGGAAGTGGCTGGACATCGCCTGCAGATGGGAAGTAGAGAATACATCTTTTGTTTTCCTTTCCTTTCGCACACGACCTTTGCTTTTGCTTTATTAAAATGCCTTTGTCTTGACCCATGAGGTTTTTTCCATCTCATTTTCTCCCCACCCTCCCCCCATACCTCATCCTGGTGCAGAGGGGAGTGATAGAGCAGCTCGGCGGGCATCTGGCATCCAGCCAGGGTCAACCCACCGCACCCATAAAAGATGTACACGTTTAAAAACCCGCTGATTTTCTGTTAGAGCATTCACAGGTGTACCTGTCATAAATCGCAGAGTTTTGGGCAGGGGGTGCTGCAGGGCTGCCCTGTGGCGGAGGCTGGGAACTGCCCTGTGCCTGTCCCAGCCCCTTCAGCCGACTCTGGAACCGGTGTACAAACCCCTTGGCACACCAGAATTCCAGTCAGTCAGAGGACTGTATGTGGCACTTGTGCTGAAATATCTTTAAGAAGGAGTGGTAGCCTGCAGGGGTAGGAGACACCAGGAGACCTGGGTGTCACCAGAGGAGACCTGGGAGATAAGGTGGGAGGAGGGAGTGGGGGAGGCAGGTGGAAGGGGACAGTGTTGGCGACCCAGCAGGATAAAGAGTCGTGGAAGGAGGTGCTCTATCCCAGAAGATGCCCACCTCTGAAGGGACTGCAGCCCATAGATGACCCACGCCGGAGCAGGGACAACCCCGAGGGACTTGTTGCTCCTGGAGGATCAGCACTTGAGCAGAGGTAACAATCAAGAAACCAGGAACACTGGAAGTAAATGAGTAAGAAGCCAGGACTGGCAGAAGGAAATGGTTACGCACGTACCCTGACCTCCTGTGCCACCTCTTCCCTCGCTGAAGGGATTGGGAGGGACTGGTGGAAAGAAGGGATGTGGAGACAATGAACTGGGGTGGGGGAGAGCTGGGTTTGACTGAAGCTGATCTTGCGGAAGGGTGAGGAAAAGTGTGTCCCTGTTTGTTTAATTGTTTGTCACCCACCTCCCCTCTTCCTGAATCAGTAGATAAAAGTTTATGCTAACTAGCAGTAAATTAAATTAGGTAAATTTCCACAAGTTGAGGTGTTTCAGCCATGACAATAGTACCTCATTGGATGGGTGAAAACCAATTTTTGTATGGTGAGAGAGGTAATATCTTTAATAAGGCCAAATACAGTTGCTGGGGGGAGAGGAGGGTAAACTCTACAATACAAAAGTGCTGGTTTGGATTTGAAATAAGAGCTGGGAACTCCTATGTCAAGCATCCTGGTGCAAAGTGAGCTGAAAGGAAACAACAGAAGGCTGGAAGGGATGGGGGAGGATATGTCCCGAGAGACTGGCTTTCCTGACTCTGTTGGGATGGCAGAAATGGGATTGGGATGGCTGAAATAAACTACAGCTGCCCTGGGCATCACGGTTTCCGTCAGCCTGCGGGATAAGGGGACAAATCATACATGTGGAGCAGAAATGAGGAGAGACTGCAGTGCATGAGTCACTGTCTCTTTGAGGCAAATGAGCTGGGCTTGTCTGGCCTCGATCTGTGCTGGGAGCAGGTCACAAAGGCTCCTGGCTTCCTGGATGGCAACCACATAACACGGCTTCCTGAGCCACTGCGTCCAGCGGGGCGCCGAGTGGGGTTTCAGTATGCGTCGGGCCAACCCCAACGGGACTAAATCTCTCCTTTTGATCTCAAAAGGGGGCAGAGAGAGAAGGGAAACCTATTTGTGTCTGAGGGTTGTACACTGAGGGAAAATGTGGCCATTCTGGGGCAGAAAGCCCACCGTCTGTGTATTCGGTATTTCTGGTTATGAGCACGTTGGGTGCTGTGGATCTTTCTCAGGACTGCTCGGTGGTTTCCAAATACACCCCTGTGTCTCTGGGAGGGGCACACCCCACTTGGGAGTTTTGAGAAAGGAATTTTGGTAGCAATTGGATATAATAGGTGACAAGAAAATTACGTGAAGCAGCACCCTAAGGCATCACCGTTCGCGTCTTCAGCATGTGTAAATCAGTGTCGGGGCAATGACTGAGACGATGGCGTACTCTCCTACTGAGGGAAGTTCGAAGGTTTTGTAGTCATGTTCCTTGGACTTTCCAGGAGTGCTGGAAAATGTGTTTTGCCGCACCCCTCACAGTGTTTCTATAATCTCTGACTTGCTTGGGATTCTTTTGGGTGATGTGAATCATGAGCTCTTACTCTGCATTTGGTCCAGGTCCCGCTCGTTTGAACTCAGCCCAGCCCCGGAGCCAGTTTACACTCCATTAGTGTGTTTAGAGTACGGAATAATCTCAAGTACATACAGACCTTTCTCATAATATTTAGTGCTGTTTTGCCTTCCTGAAAAGACACAAATGAGAGCAATGCCTGAGCCGGTTTGCTGGAAGAGGGCTCCTCACCAGCGTGGCCAGCCTCGCAGATCCAGGGTGGGAAGCACGTGTGTGTTTTGGAAATGCCACCACCCAAACACAGAAGAGAGGGAAGTCAGAGCAAGGGAAAAAAAGGCCATCACTGCGCCCCGATGACAAACAACCATGTGTCTTTTATTGAAATAGTTACAACTGTAGCTCTGGAAAAAAAGACTGTGAATGCCTTATCAGTGTTCATGTGTGAAGGAAATGATGGTGGGGGGGCTGTATTACAATTATATACACCTTCCGTCATACAAGGGCCACCAAGGTGATCTGGGACACAGAGTGCCACCTCTGAGAGTTAAACACCCTGCATATACACATCGAACTCTATACACCTTGGGAAGTGGGCTCTGGGCTTCCCCCTCTCTCCTCTGCCCTAGTATTCGATGGTGTGAATTTGGAGCGCTGGGCCAGCTTCTCGGCACCCGGCCGAGGTGTGGAGGCAGCTGATCCCTACTCGATCATTTCACAGAGGTGGCTTCCCCCTCTGTGCAAAGACTGAACCGTGGCAGGTGTAAGCAACTCCGGGTACGGCTGTTTGCAGACACTTGGCGACTTGCAGGGGGCACTTTCTCCGCCTTTCAGTCGTCAGGTTTCATGTATTTCTCTTGTCCTTCACCCATTCACCTTTAATTGAGTAAAAGGAGTGTCTAACTGAGAGAAACCATCTTAGAAAACTCTCACATAACTTTCAACCTTTTAACCTTTGAGACTTATCCCATCCTTTTCTTAAAGCCTGTCAAACGAATGCGGTGCTCCCGGCTTCTTTTTAGGCAGCATCACAACCCACTAAGCAATTCCCATCATGGCTGGGGTGCTTCTGAGCGTTGCCGTGAGCGGAATCATGGGAATGCTGCAGGAGTCCGCTGGCTGCATTTCTTTCGTGGTGCAACACAAGCAGCCTGCTTACTGCATCCCTGCCTGGCACATCTCCAAACTTAATTCTGCTGGAGCACACTGGGCAACGTACTCGCCGCTTCTCTGCGACAGCATCAGTGCCGATGAAGCCTGGACAATCTCAGCTTATGGACCGCCCGACAACTTTCTGGCCAGACAGGGCTTTGCTTCAGCATCCACTCAACAACATTCATCACAACTTCCACAACTCCTTGACCTCAAGCTAAAGCCGAATCTTACTTAAGTCCCTCTCAGCATGACTAGGAATTTGGTTAGTTGCCCCATCCACACTGCCTCTGAAAAGGCCTTCTGAAATGTCATTTACAAAAAATATGTCATCTTTTACTGGGACTAAAAGGAGCAGCTACTCCCAGAGGAGACCAAAATAGCCAAATGTCCATAGCCCTGCCAAAGTGACTGTGCTAAAACCCTTTATGGTAACTGTGGCTGTCAAATGCTAGCTTTGGGGGAGGTATAAGAAGAGAGACTCAATGCTTAAGTAATCGAGGAAAAAAAGCAGTCTTGGGGATAAAATGTTACATATGCCGTCTGTCGGTGAAAGCAGGGCTTTGGACTCTGGGTTCTGTTTGGAGTTTCTGGAACCCAGACTCAAACAGGAATGAATGCAGACGGTGAGCTAGACCGCCGGGGTTGGGGGGAACAGAAGATGAGCAGAGAGAAGAAGCAGTGATTTCTGGGATGGAAGTGAGGTGTCTCCCTTTGGATGAATGATGGTGATGAACAGTGAATAGTGGGGGATTTTGCGCAAGAGTAAAGATTTTTAACTAATTCTGATGGACCATTAGCTGTCCCAGTTCTCCAGTCATCCACACACATCAGCAGTTGACTGGAGAAAATAAAGCAGAGTTTCTCCTTCCACGTTTTGAAAAGAAATGGAGTCAGCTAATTCACAGACGGAGAGAGTCTAGTGGCATTCAGCCCACTGGACACCCAGCCAGGCAAGTATCTTCCATAGAAAAAGGGTGTAGAAAAAAAACAAGAGCAAACCCCCCTGCAGCCAAAATGAATGTTAAACCCCAATATTACATACACATTAGTGTAATTTTTACACTTACTGCCCTATGCAGCCTGCTAGATTCTTCACATCCTGATCATATTCTTACAGAATATTTTCTGCTGCACATACACAAAAAAAAGTTCAGTTCTGCCACATCCATCTCTAGACAAATGTCTCTTCTGCAAACGCCACTGCATCACGCTCCTCTGTGACCACCTCTGCCAGTGGCTGGCTCCTGAGCCACTCCACCCTACCGCGAAGCAGTTCATTCTCCACCGCCTCCACCTCTGCTGGGGGACAGCTCTTGGTTTCATCGTGCTTGAAATACTCCCTGACGGTGTTGCGAATGGAGGCGGGGAGGAAGATACGGATGGTGTGGCTGAACGTGCCGAAGCCCTTGCTCTCGGTTGGCGCCTGCGCCGTTTCCACTGGCTTGCTCTCCAGCTCCTCGGGAGTTGAGGCACTTTGGGGGCTCTCTTCGTGCTCTGCCTGTGGGCATGGGATCACGGGTTCATGGCGGTAGCGCCTGGAGATGGACTGCAGGACAAGGGGGGTGTTCTGCCCGTAGAAAACTGTCTGGGGGATATGGACTCTCACAGTCTGAAGGCTCTTGGTCGGGCTTTGCACACTGCTGCTGCTGGGTGAGCTGCTGCTGCTGGTGTTTGCCACGGATCTCTCCTCTTCCCCTTCCACTGGAGACCCCCAGGAGCTTTCGTTATATGGGGACATGTAAAAACTTATCTTGGTGCGCTTCAGGCTGTCCTGGCTTGGAGGGCAAGCATCAACACTTTTGATTTCTATGTTCTTCACTCCCTTCTTCTTGTGCTGCTGGTGGCTGACCTGTGGGGATTTCTCACTGGCTGGGCTGGCAGCCGGGAGCTCAGGAACTTGTTCAAACTCCTTGGCATAATCCTGGCTCCTGAGCTCTGGGCCACGGACCCCCAGACAACTCAGCTGTCTCTCCTCTCCTTCCCAGTCAACGTCAGCTAGCGTGCTTCCCACGGCAGCTCTGCTGACAGGCGGAAAACTTTTCCTCTCTCCAAAGCAATGACTGCTCTCTACAGGCTTGGGGTCATTCTCACGGGAACTATCCAGGGCACACGGAACGGGAACTATCCAGGTCACACGGATGTAAAGGCACAGGAGACGTGAAGGACTTCTGCCACTTTCTGGCAATCTTGGGGGATACAGCGTGGAGCCTGGCAGACGTGCCAAACATGAATGGCAGGGAGGAGACGTCTGTGGGACTAATGGCTGATGACTCCGAGCAGTAGGAGAAAGCACTGTCCAAGGAGCTGAGTGAGGAGGCAGATGGGGAGGTGGTGGTAGAGGACAGGCTGGAGAAGCTGGACCTGTTGGACAGGCTGGATTTTTGAAGGCTGAGCTGCTTCACCCTAGAGCTGGCCTGAGGTGACTGCCACGAGTTCTGCCTGGCCTTGTTAACCCCAGGGCTTAGGCCTTCATCGATCAGCTTCTGGCTCTCCACTTGCAGCTGCTTGAGCCTGTGGATGTAGTCTGTGTGGCTGTGCATGAGGGTGGCATCGCAGCTGGACTGGCGGGCCACTGGCTCGTGGCTCTGAGCAGGGAGCTGGGAGCTGAGGCAGACGCTGGGCTCTGATGAGCACCGGTCCCTGGCCGGGCTGAGTGAGCGGATTGAGCCAATGGAGCAGAAGGAACCCTCCTCTTCCAGGAGGTCATAGCTGTCTGCACTGGTGTTCTTCCGGGCTTTGCTTTGGTAGCAGGCTGTGATCTCACTGAACAAGTCCCAGTCTTCCTGATCCTCGTCGAGTAACAAGCTGCTGGATGGTTCAAAAAAGGCATCTGTTTCAGGCACCTGATGGTCCTTTGGTCCTTCTGGGTCACAAGCAGAAAACTCCAGCTCATCAGAGGAATCATCATGCTGAGCCAAGCCTATGCCTGGGGCAGAGAATGCAAATTAATTTGTTGCCTATGTCTCCTAACCCTATATAGTAGCTTACAACCAAGGCAGGGAAATATTATCAAGTCCATGGAAAAGCAAAGATGATCCATTATTTTCCCAGGGATCAGAGCACAACTGGGAACAACATAAAAAATTCTGGCTTTGTGACCTGAGCTGTCACCAGTGTCCTGTATTCATAGGATAGCAACAGAGACAACTGGACCTCTTTCCATTCAACCACTTGGTTGAGCTTTACAGAACTAATCTGGAAGAAAAGACTGCTGGGACGTGTTGAGGCTACATTAAATTCTTGTGATGGCTGGAACAGGTTGAACAGCAGCTACAAAGACAGACAACCATGCTCAGGGACACATTTGAAGTGATGCACCCCAGCCCTCTGCTTTCCCCTCTGTCTGACAGGCCAAGGGAAAATAAAACCCCACTGTTTCTCAAGGCTTTTCCTTGGAAAAGACATGAAGGAAAGCAAACGCTTTTGCATAAGGAGTTGACCTATGAAAAGATTTTAAACATTTCTGGAAGATACAGTACCACCAACTTACCCAGAGATTCCTCCTTTTTGTCTGGTCTTTGAAACAAGGAAGCAATGTCGCCTCCAAAAATCTCTCCTGAGTTTTCAATCAGGAACTGCACTAACAAAGCCACCTGGCAAAGGCATGAATTTACAGAGTCAGTTTCATGAAAATACAGCCAGCTACCTAAAGCAAGTCAAATCAGTCCAACAATGTTCCTTTTCTATTGACAAAGATGTAATCTCCTACAGATCCTTCTGCTCAAGGTGCTGTTAAGAACGTGGCAATGCATCTGTATTAACACCCCATGTGGGGCAAGAATATTTGCTACATGAACTGGTACAGTGAGCCAGGTACCGCACGTTCTGTGATTCTCCCTCCTACTGATAACACCTCATGAACTGCAAGCCAGCATCCCTCCCCCTCGATGCACTGTCCTGTGCAGGGCTTACTTTGTCTCTGCAGGATGGCTTTAGACCCAGCTGAAGTGGCAGTGCTGCTCCACCTGTCTTGTGCTTGCTTTTCCTTATAGGAAGTTCATCTTGGCAAAGCAACCACAGCTTCCCTTTCCACCTTGGATAAGCTGAGAGGCTAAATTCCCCTAGAAGCATGGGCACAGCCGCACAAGGACAAAGCCCAGGTGATGCTCAGCCAGCCGTGTCACTGACCCTCCGCCTTCCTTTAGTCTACAACATACAGTGCCCATAAAAAGCAGTAAAAGGGGAAGACAAGCATGAGGTCAAACCTACGGAAGGTTACCTTCTTTGTAGACCTGCTCTCCTCTTCAGGCCCAGTGGGACTTGGTAGCCACAGCATATTGGGCGCTATGCAAAGAGCCAGGTTAAAGGCATTCATCTGATTCACACCGGAATTCTGCTCAATGTGATGGAGGACCCCAAAGAGGTGTCTGAGTAAGATCAGGTTGGCCTCTGGGAGCTGGTTGACCAGACTATTGAGGGAGTGGGAACAAAGGAGAACAGTGCTGTTGATAAAAACCTGCTCTTCAAATACCAGAAGTTGCTTACCAAAGCTTTTGCCCCCTTCTGCCCCTCACAATCAGTTGAGACATTCACATCTGAGAATAAAGCGAGACCGTGTCACTCCCCCCCACTAACTGATGTGAGAGCCACAACTTTACACCCACTTGCTCTTGTCACTGACCCTGAGGGACCAAGGAACTTACATCCAGGACACATGGGCAGAAGTCCATAATGCCTTAACAAAATAACGATTGCCCAAAGGAGATGCACACAGCTCCAGGCCAGCAGCACACGAGACAATACCATTGCCTGTGCCCCATGCTGCAGAGACAAGGGAGGAAGGAGGCCCAGGCCAAATGGTAACGTTCAAAACCTGAGCTGAGCCACTGGCAAGAAGAGGTTTGATATGCTGCATATCCCATACGATGCTGATAGACTGTTCTTGCTCAGGGCAGCAGTTTCAAGGCAGTAAAGCCATTTTCAAGGTCCTAGTCGCCACCTTGGCAGGACTGTTCTAACTGGCACTATGATGGTCAGCTTTGTTTTGTGCACATAAGAAAAAAGTTACCACCGTTAAGGACCTAATTCCATCAACGTCTGATGTACTCCCGGTGGCTGAATTATCCTGCTTTTCCAGTTTGCTGGTCCTGGTAATTTGAACTGGTCATCAGAAAAGAATTTTCTAATGACATTTTTTTGGGGTCAGAAATGCTAACAATGTTCATGAGAGACCATTGCAAAGAAAATGTTCTGACCAGTGACACTGGCAATCAGCAATAGCTCTGCTGTGGCCTGGAACAGGGCCAGGAGTCTCCCAGAAGATGAAGTTTAGGACCATATGCTTCCCCTTCTCCCACCAAAAGAACCCTTATAAAGATTTCTACAAACCTTTTGATAGCTTCAATCTTATGTGCCCGATTTTCCGTGTCCACAGCTTCCATCCACAGTCCGTGCATGTCTGAGGATAGAACACTGTCAGGTATATTTCGGAGAAAATCCTGAATTAAATATATATATGCAGAGCAGTCTGGTCAGTTTTGAATTCCTTGTTTTGGTTTCACGATGCATATAGTCATTGTTTATTCATATTAAGCACAAGATAAAACAAGACATGACACACATACATTTCCCCTCCCCTCCCCACTTCCACCAAGCTGTCCTGCAGCGCTGTGATGGGAGAAGGTGAGCAGCCAGCCCTCGTGCCCTGCCCCTTCTCCAAACAGGGCTGATCTCTACAGCAGCAGGGAAAGGACTCACGCCTAAGGCTGTGTGTAATCCTGTTTGAAACACCCGTCAGCTATCAGAATTGCTGCTTTTTGCTCAAGGGGCTATTTAACAACTTCTGTCTTGCCTTGGAAAGTGCCTGAATATCCTCCCAGTCAACAGCTTTTTGTATTAGGCCAACAAGAGCAAGAGACAGGGATGTTTTTTGATACTTTAGGTGGGAACTGTTCTGACCAGATTTAATTCCCAGTGCAAAAGACAGGCTTTTTCTTACTAAAACTTGGGTCTTATCACAGGCTTCATCCCCGACCCACCACAACCCCTCTGCTTGGATTTGGCAGCTGTTTTCCCTCTTGCTTGCTGGCTGATTAGAAGGTGAAGGCTCAGGTTCTAGATAGTACAGGCCCATTCCTTGGACCATGGCTTCTCTGCCTGGGGGGGGATGCAGAGCAGTTGCACTTAAATGGCACAAGTTGTCCCGTATCTCCCTGCAGTCTCTTCTGTGTGTCCAGAAAGGACAAAGAGCATTTGTGCTGCTGCCACCAGCTGCCTGTGTCAGTGCAGCATCTGAATTGCTGAGGGCAGACTCTGGCATGTTATTTGGTAGCATGAGATAACTTCTGCATCAATACCATGGCTATCTTGGAGGTAGATATTACTGTATCGCCCCCTGGAAGCTGTTTTGTACAGGGAGGTGGAAAACGAAACACTGGCCTGAGGACCACTGCACATATCTGCACGCGAAAACAAGTACCACTGGGCCAGGCAGAGACCTTTTGTGCACACAGACGGACCGAGCCATCAGGTGATAATGTGCCTGGCTGGAAAATGCTTTGTGTTCCCTCCCAAATCTTCCCTACCCATAAAGACTCATGTTGCTTCCTTGAAGAAGGAAGGTATGTTTAGCCCAGACATACCGTGATGACAGCTGCAGCCACAAAGACTGACTCTCCATCCACCTGGACATCATCTCCAGAGTTCAGCTTCTCTTTCAGCTCCTTGCAAGTCTTTGCATTGGCAGAACGTCTGAAAATGCCCCTAGTAGAGGGACCTTTGTGGTACAGCAGGAGCAGCATATCCTAGGAGAAAGCCCAGTTGTACTTAAGCGCCTAATACTTTACCCTGTTGTTTCTGTATATCATACCTCACATATTATAATGTAATTAGCTTAAGATCTTCTCAGTACTGCGAAGAGCACAGACACACAAGAGATTTATCATGATTTAACCAGGGACAAAAGCCTGTCAGCTGAGTTGCAAGTACAGTTCATGAGGGTACGCTTATCCTGTGGAACGTGTGAGTCCAGTAGACTCTTGCAGTGAAAAAGGTCTAGGCTAGCATGAGGCAGCATGGCTGCCCACTGACACTGCCCCTTGTCAGCTTGTGATGACCTGGTTGGAGACACCCATTGAAACAGGGTGGACATCTGTGCATGAAGTGATATGGACTACACACGAGAGGGATGCTCTTACCCTTGTTACTGAGACAGATCTGAATCACAGGCAAATGATGGTCTTCTTCCCATTCCAATCCTCATAAATACCACAAGTGGCTTTAAATTCTGGGCTAAATACATCATGTTTATGTCAGGATGAACAGTCCAGGCTGTTCCTTACCATGATTGGCTTGGGAAGGATCCCATCAGGACAAACAGAGGACAGTGACAGGCCAAAGAGCTTTCGTGGGGTGGTAGGAGACTGTGAAGGAGGGCTGCCCGTGGGGGTGCTGGTGCTGCGGCGCAGGGCCCAGTCAATCAAGGACTTCTTCCTCTTGGTGTGTTTCTGCAGTGACTCTGAAAGAAACACAGACCTTTGTTACACAACTGTCTGTCCTTCCTACTGCTCAGTGAGTGATCTACAGCGGAGGCAGAGTTCCTAGCAAAGCAAGGATTTCTATCATTGCATGCTTAATACCTACGCTATTAATGGGGACAGTCAGATAATATACAGCAGTGAAACCCCTTGTTCTTCTCTAAACCATCAGCAAACTTCTATTCAATCACTGTTCTTCAGACAGCCTTGCTCCTGTGCAATGTAAGAATGGCTTGCAACTGAAAGCGAATCAAGGACTGAAAGCAAATTCTGAACATTTGCACAAGGCAAATTTAGCCCCTCTGCAATCTCTTCCTCTTTGCATACACTCAGGTATGAGAGCGACTCTGGAATACCTGTATGATGCTAGGAAGAGTTTGCCACTTCCATGGAAAGCAGCAAAGTCTCTGCCTGGCCATATTGCACTCCTGCAGCCCCTACCTCTCCTCAGCTGCATTGGAGCTTGGAGCCTGGGTTTCAGGACAAACTGACACTGTTTTTCCTTCGGGAGCTGATCAAAGAAGGAAGTCTCTGTCCCATCAGCCAGGAGGGTGTTATTGTTGGTTCCTTGTTGCTGGTCAGCAGAGTCCCGGAGACAGTTCAGTGCAATGCTGAAAGGATACTCGTGCCCTGTTGAGCAAAGAGTTGTTTAAAGAGCAAGCAAAGATGCAGAGCTATGTGAGAACAGTTCCAAATCTGGGCAGAAGGAAGCAGCCACATCCAACGGCTCCCACTGCAGCTGGGCCTCTACGCAATGTAGCTCAAAACCTCCACCAGTGGACTGAAGAGGCCAGGGCACATCTACGTATATATGATTATTGCTTTACAAATCAGTTTATCCAGTTAAACCTGGTCAGCCACTCTTCATCAGCAGCTCTCCAGAACATTCTGCAACAAAGCACTATCAAGTGCGTTTAAGCCCTTATAAATAGGATTATGGGCCCCACTGCACTAACAAAACGCTGTAAGCATTGATCTGCGTAGGAGTTGGCTTCCTATGACAGTCTAGTATGCATTGGATGAATACAAAAAGGAAGCATGTGCCACCACGACTTGGAAAACACCAATAAACACCCACAAATAAACATGTGCAGTCTAAAGAGCCACAGAATAATAGTCTTACTACGACAACATGGTCTTTGGAGCAAGATCTCTTTAATAATCCAACATGCATAAACTTTCTTGGAGAGCCTGGGGATGTATTTATTGGGTTATCACTGAAAACACAGCGCAGAGTTAATGCAGACATTACTCATTCAGCATAACTAAGCAGTATGCTACAGGGCAAAACAGCCTGAGCAATGGCTGCACCACTGATACATCTGCCAGAGAACCAAGCAGCTGTTTCAATGCACCTAATATAAAATCAGTGTATTTCCTTGCTTCCTCTCTGGCAGATTGTACATTTAATCTTATATTTTGCTGTGTTGTTTTTGCCAACAACCCACAAATAAAAACTATTATTATTGCTGTTGTTGTTGTTACTGTTATTATTGGAAAATTCCAGTTTTGGTGACCTCCATGAATGCCTAGCACTTAACAGACAAAATTCAGTCGTTTATTTTAAAATCAGTTTTTTTTGTATTTCTGAAATCACCTTCTACAGTTCCCCAGCACTCTCTTCCATTGTAACTTTCCTCAAATCCCTCTACATACATACCCACTTTCCTCAGGAGTTTCTAAAACCTAAACAGAAATTGTTAAAAAGGAAAGTTTTCAAATAAACAGCCTGCAAAGGGCGTTGCCTCATATGGCCCATGTGTACTTGTGAGATCAGATCGGTGTTGGATTAAGGTTGCAATTCAGAGGACAACGATGTTAAGGAGCTGTGTGCAATGTTAATGGGGTTTTCCATGTGACATGACATCTTGTGTGGAAAACAGTTTCCTTATTTGTGAGCTGAAATGCAATGAAAACTAAATTGAATGCCAAAAAGGTAGGATAGACATGTTATCTTCCTAACTACAGGCTTAAAAGTCACCAATGCATCCATCTAAAAATTCTGCTTCCTTCAACCGCCAAAGTGCTTTCCTCTGGACTTAGCATGCTCTTGCTGAAGGATGACCTAACTGCAGTGATTTGTTTTGCTTCTGACCCAGCCAGAAGGCAAAGTGCTCAGGAGATGTCAGGAGATGCTCTGGCTGATGGACATGAGTGGGTGTCTCTAGCACAGGTAGCAAAGGTGGGCTGAGGCTGCCCCAGACCACAGGCACTGCCTGGGAGGAGAAGCCTGCAAAGCCGAGCAGAAGAGCATGACCTCTCCAAGCCTCCAAGCCTCCAAGCACACAGCCCTGCAAGATCACATCAGCAGCCACAGCAATGGGACTGGGCTTTGAGGCACGTCCTACCCTTGCATCACACCCGCTGCATAGAAAGAACTTCTTAGGCTAGCCTAAACGTTTCCCATTTATTTGGAGCATCTGCTGAAAAGTGTCATGGGCTCCCATCCAGAAATGCACAGATTTGCTTGGAAAAGGGAGGTAAGTGTGAAGATGTTCAAAGATGTCACCATGTGTTGAATAAACTTGGATCCTGAGACCATAAAAGCCGGGTGAAGTCTCACATCACCTTGATGTCACTTCTCACATCAGGAACAGCCTCCCTACCATTGCTTTTTTAAGAGAAGGGTGCAGTGTTTCAGACATTTCTCTGCCACACACACCAGTTTCATTTATCACTTGTTCGTGTGCTGCTAGAACTGAAGGAAAATGGGAAAGCTCTTACCAATGAGAGGGTAAGCGGGATCATCTTTTCCCGAGATCACCCAGAGGTGGTGTTCACTTGTCCTGGCCTGGTGGTTGAGGAAGAGAGAAGAAAAATATTAGGTAGGGGTGCCAGGTTAAGGGCTCATGAGGTTGCACTCCACTCTGAAAGCAACAGAGGGCTGAACAGGCCAAGGAGTCAGACATGCACGGCCATCTCCAGGAGAGCCGCGCGGCTGGGAGGGATGACACTGGATCAGCCTGTCTGATACGCAGAGGAAGGGGAAAGGTTCAGGAGGAGAAAAGACCGAGAGCCAGCAGGATGTAAACCCACATGATGGCTTCCTGGCCTATTTTAGCAATATGTTCCACAACCTTCCTTGTTTAAACTACTGGAACACTGTCAAACCTACCTGTTAAACACTAATGGGAAAGGCTGGACCACTGCAATGGGCAAGGCTCATCTGATAACGTCACTATTTTGTTCAGTATTTCATGGCCATATTAATAATCCCTTGACAAGACTGGCTCAATCCCAATGCTGGGCTGCAAGCATTTAAGTCCTCTAAAATCCAAATGATTTTATTATACAAGGTTTGAATTTAATGTAGGCATGTAAGCATCTCTGTGTTTCCAATACTTGGCACTCACACAAATAGATTGCTTCATCTTGTAGTCCAGAGAATATTAATGCCTTACTGATCAGTTGCAGCAAATCTAGGCTTCTCCACATCTGCACTGTCCTGTAAACCAGAGGTTGCCAGCTTCCTTAGCTAAGATCTGGCAGACTATGCAACTGCCACTTACAGGAAGTCCAAGCTGTAGAAGGGTCTTCTTCATCACACTCTCTGCAGTTTCCATATTGGACACATTGACTGCAGCACTCTAGAAAGGAAAACAGAGGAAATACAGGAAGCTGATAAGAAGGCATGAAGTTTGGTTGCAATTTCTTGTAGCTTGAAAACTACAAAATGTTCATGGTTAGAAGAGTTGTACTAATTTGAAGTACACTGGAATCATTAAGTGTGATGGCTATACATTGTGAAAAACTGTTCTCTGTTACTTCTTCTATCATGGGTTTCTTATACCATCCAAAGATTTCATCCAGTAGAAATCACAGGAAGTTGGTGGTGATCAGATGCTGTATTTGATCACACCAGTATTTGACTGACAGAAGTGCCACTGTCACTCCAAAGGGTAAACACAGCACAGTGCTAATAAACCACGAGTGCTTGGGGTCACTCTGAGGGAAGAGTCCCAGGAGGTAAATGTGACCCAGCAAGCTTGGCATGAAGCCTAGAAATGTATGCTACTAATATGAAGTGACTGGGATATATTCCAGTAAATTAATTCAGGAGAATTCATTCCGTGACTCTTTCATGATCAGTACTGCACTGAAAATAGGAATGACTGGGCACTCAACGACAAACCATCACCAATTATGACGTGCAGCAGAAGGAAAAGAGAAAAGAACCCAGAGGCCAAGAATAATCTTAAGAATTAACTGCTCTTTGGTAGAAGTCTAGCTCCCTCCTGATTTTCCAAACCAAAACCCTGTGAGTGAGCTTCCAGTGGGAAGGATGCAGGTGCCCAGATGCAAACCCTCTAAAACCTTTTCAGCTGGGACTTGAATCTTAGACAGGGATAGCAGCAGCAGCACCACAGCCTTGCCTTCCTGCCCCTACCCCGCAGAGCTCCATGTAGCATTGGTCTGATGAGCAGGTTCTTGGCTTTACTCACAGAAGAACAGTTGTCAGCATCCAGCACAAAGATCTGAAGGGTGAGATTCTTCAGAAATTCGTTCTGTTTTACCTCATTGATATGCCTGAAAGTCAAAGAAAAGGGGAGGAAATACAATTGAGGAGAACCCTAAGATTTGGATACAAGAGGACCAAGGGACCTGCTCCTTGGCACTAGAGTAAACACAGGTTAATTCTGACAGTAACAATAACAGGCAATGTTCATAGTGTGGTCACACGCACTTTCTGGCTTCGTTATCTTTCTTGAGGCCCCAGACCAGCAAAACCCCACGTGGCAGTGCTTTAACGCAGATGTGATTAGCATAACACCTTCCAGCCTCCTTAGGATCATTACTGTTCTCCACAAGAGAACAAGGGATGACTTCCCCTCTCTCTACCTGTACAAATACTTCTGCCTGGATGTCAGTGGAAACAACATAAAAACATCACATGAAAAAGAAGCAACTGTAACCTCTAAATGCCAGGAAATACAAACTACAGTTTGAATCAAAAAACATCTGAAGAATCAGTAACACTTGTGACCTTTCCACAGTGATTAGCAAAGCCAACCTCCAGCTCCAAAAGGAAAAAAGTGCTCCAACAATGTTATCTTCTAGTGGATTTCATCTTTTCTGGACTGATAACAGAGTCCTGAATTTTGCTTTCACCCAGGGGCTTCTACATTCAGGTTTCAAAGGTGGATTTTTTCAAACAGTAGCTAGACACCTAATGTGCTGAAAAATCAGAGGACAATCTGACACCTAGCATGACAAATTTCCTTAAGGACTGTAGAGGAACCACCCAGGAGAAGGATGAAAGGAGGGTGACTTACCACAGTAATGCTGACAGCCATCGTTCCTTCGTGTCAGCTGAGCTGAAGATAAAAAGGGAGGCAGATCGTCAAACAAGTGCTGAGTGGGTAACAGCCTTTGGAAACTCTACCCCGTTTCATTTATATATAGCTGTAAGTCAAAGTTCCTTCCTGCAAAGCCCTGGAACAAAAGCACAGTCCTTTCCTGCTTCTGTTCTATTTTAACAAATAATAAAAATAATAATAACAAAAAAATCCCAGCAACAAACTGGACTACATTTCCTGCCCAGGCTGGTGAGTGTTCAGATAAGGGACAAATATCTTTTTGTGATGTTGGAGTTAACTCATCTTGTGGGCCCTTATTATTTTTGCAGTGACCTTTAATTGCTATTTTCTTTCTCCTATTATTTCCTTCCCAATGTCTGCCATTCCTAGAAGCTTCTGCTGCCAACACGGATTACCCAGGTCTCAGTGACGTGAAGGAAATGGAACCGCTGTTGAGTTTGGACTAAGACACAAACAGCAGCTTGCATGTCAGAGCATGAGCCCTAAGGCCAGGAATGCATCACCCGGGAAAGACCACCCTGGAAATGACGAGACAGCATGTATGAAGCCATGATATGGTTCCCATTTCTTTTTGCACAGGGGCAGCTGCCCCACAGAAGGAAAAAGCATCAGGACAGATCAGCCCTTCCTAGTTGTGCCAGCAGAATCCCTGAGGACAGAGCGACCCTTGAAGACTGCTAACCTCTTTGCTTTGGAAAAGAGAGTATGAAGCAGAGATGCCTGAGCCAGCAGTGACCCGAGCTCTCTGTGGATATATGAGCTCTAAGTTCAATGGAGCCAGGCGAGACTGAGCTCCAGGTAATAAAAAGCTCACCTGCTTTTTGGTGAGCCTTACTAGTTCAGGCACAATATCGGGACAGCCTTTGAGATGGCATTTGGACATGAATGAACTATTCCCTAGCCTGCTCTGTGCTCCCCTGCATTTCTATTTTTGAGCTTAGCCAGGGCTAAGCAAGCTCTGAACCCATTTGAAGAACCTTTCCATTTTTACAGTCTGTTGCTGCGGGCTTGGGACACCCTGGCAGACAGTTGCAGGAGGAAGGTTTGCCATGGGGCTGTCCATGCCACACTAGGGGTGGATAAAGGATTTAATCCTGGCACAAGGCCATCTGGCATTCTTCACTGACATAACTAACCTGTCCTTCATAATGAAAAATTCTCAAACCAGGGCTAGACTCCTACAGAAATGGCTGCTGGCAGGTGCTGAAACAACATTCGTCTAAATTCTATGATGGCACAAGCTGGTTTGCTATGGCAGCTTTGGTTGTGATGTTCCAGGATGCTCTGCAGCAGGGTTAGCCCTTGCTATAACAATACTTGCAAAGGTTGGTCCTCTGGTTTAAAAGGCTCTCAGGGACTAACCTGCAGGTATCTTTCTAAAATGATCGTCTCCCAACATCTATGTTTTTACCACACTGCCTAAGGTGAGTGGAAGTCCCCTACTCGATGGGGAGAACAGCTGTAGTAGAGTTTAGGGCTCTGCACCCTCAGTCATCATTTTGCTTGACACATGGGAGACTTGGGGAGCTGCCAGGCTGAAGCAGGAGACCTGGTGTCTGATGGGATACCTGAAGGTGACAACATAGTTGATGGTAGGCCAGCCGATGACAAAAGAATTCTCAGGACTCATCTTTTTCTCTGTCACTTCGCTCAGACAGGTGCCGGTCCACACTTCACTCAGATGCACCTGCTTTTTCAGCTTCAGGCTGGAGGAGGATCTGCAATTAAAATTATGGATTTCTTAGACCAGATCCTAACACCTAGACCTCCAGAGTCTGGTCATCCCACTTTCCAGTCATGCAGATGCAGTGACAGCAGAAACCTCCCAAAACTGGGCATGTGGAGGCACTACAAGAATGTTTTGCAAGTGGATTTTGGGGTTGGTGGCTGCAATGGGATGGCTGCAGCTTAGGACAATGTGATTCATGAGAGCCACATGCAGGTAGATGGTGATTTAGGCTAATTACTGTCTAGGATAATAACTGAAGTCACCTAAGTTCTTAATTTTTGTGTGGCAGAAGTAGCCAAACCAGGAGTCAGTTTTCTGTCCTTACTGCCTCTGGCCCTCACGTTATTTCTTCAAGACGCCACATAAGGAAAAGGGCAAAATCAATTAGATAACCTTTTCCTTCAGGAAAATGAAGCAAAACATTAATACCAAGAAAACTTTCTTGAGGTGAAAGGGGGAGATGCCACATTTTAGATCTAAATTTCTAAAGAGCAGCTTTGATGCCTACTCCACAAATAGCTCAGAGCCTAGCTTCACAAGCACATACCAGGGAGGAGTCAGTGTGAATTCCTCTTACTTGGATTTGGCGATGACCAGCACATCACTGAACAAGATCAAATGTCTTTCCTGGGTCTGCAAGCCCACGGTTAGCTGCACTCGCTCGTCCAGGATGAAAGTGGAGCCAGGGCTGCTGAACACTCCACTTGCCAGCCCATTGTCTGAATGGGAAGAGGAAAGGGTAGTTTCCCTGGAGAAGGAAGAAAAATCATAAGACTCTGTCAGCAGCTTTTCTCACAATAGTTCATGATTGGACACAGGTGACTGTTTTGGAACAGTTCAATAGCCCCTTGCTTCTCCCAGCAATGCCCCTATTGCTCTCAACTACAAACTGCATCTGCCTGCCTCTTCCCAGTTACTTTTACCACCCTCAGACAGATGGAAAACTGCCTAAATGCCTACCCCAAATCTGGGGAGGTTAAGCTGCTGAAATACTCATTTTTGAATCACTTCTCACTGAAGTAGAACACTTTCCTGCACACGCATGTGAGCTATGACACACAAAGAACACAGAAACCCCACGGCAGTCCCTGGCCCATGGCACTGCTCAGCCTGGCACAGAGCAGGACTGCCATTTCTGCCCACGTTTTCCATCTGTACTGAACTGCTTGCCAGTGCAAGGGCTGCAGCACAAAGAAAATGAACTGCATGTCCACACCTAGTGCCACAGCCATCTTCTTCTGGTGTGCCCGGCTGCAATCCAGCATCTTGTTTCTGCTGAGGTCGATGTAAGTGCTGACCACTTCCAAAAGCCCCTGATGGTTTCTGCATGTTGACTGCAGTCAACAAGCCATCGTTGGGATTGAACCAAATCCTTTCTCTTTGCTCTCCCCACCTGGAAAAGCTCCGCCAAGTGCTGATCTACCACCTGCCTCTCAGCACCCTCCCCGAGCACCTTCTCAGCGCTGCTCCTGGCTCTCCTCGGCAGTGCTGGCGGTACAACAGGTCCCACGGTCATTTCCTGGGTCCTCCCTTGCTCTGCGAGGGTGGGATTGTGCTGAATGAACAAGCGATAGTTCTTTGCTGAGCCTTGTTCATGAGCCTCAGAGACCGTGTTCATGTGCCTGACCTGAACTGAATTAGCTAACAGGAGACAAGGCCTTAGATTTATGTAGATAGAAAATCAACAGAAATCCTCCTGTCTCTACACATGGACAAAAATGTGTATCCTGCCTGCAGGCAAGGAGGCATGTGGAAGACTTCCCTTGCCTCCACCCCTCAACAACACTACTCTAGTCCAAGGGCAGTCTCTGCACAAACAAATGAAAAAACCATGTGAGCTTTAAGGGTAGCATTTTTGACATTGTTAGCCTTAACTCAATTTCCACTGGCCTCATAGCTGGGCCCCTTTGATTTCGTTGGAGTGAGGTTAAAGCCAGCCATTAGCTGCTTTTTTAAAATCGTCCCCAGGCACAGGAACACCCACAGTGCTGCAAGCAGAAATTCCCTCTTCCCTCCTCATCACTCCACAGTCACCAACAAGTGAATTCTTGGCTTATGCATCTGTTGCCTCCACAAGTGAGAAGCTAAATCACCTTTAAACTTGATAGTTAAAGGTTTCCATGTGCGTCAATCGAGCAGTGGGAGCCACACCATCACACAAGCTCAGCGGTGGATTTCCTAACGCTGCAAGAGTCACACAGCTTTGTAAACACAACAGCAAGACAGCAAAAACCCTCACCAATACACTGGTGGCCTAAGCAAAGACGGCATTGTACCAGCTCCCTCCACAGCAATCCATCACGAGAAACGTTTAAAGCTTCCCTCCCTCATGAGCATATTCTCCAGCCAAATAAAGTCAAGAATTTGTTGATTTACTCTTATTTACTTCTTTTTTAGTGCAATTTAGAAGAGAGAGGGAATGTCTAAGAAGCCATATAACTCAGTCAGAAGAGAACCAAATGAAAGTTAGTCCTGCTCTTTATTTTAAATGATCCTACAAGACTGACCCTACACTGTTGTTTCACAAAGGCAGGATGTACTGTGCATCGGTTGCCTATGGTGTGATAGAGAAGGGGCATTCTTCAGGAGGGCTGGTCTGCATCAAACTGGCAATCAGTTCAGCTTCATCATTTCTTTCTTACTAAGAAAAAAAAAATCAAACTAAAGAAATCCCTCAGGAAATGTTATCTGTAAGATTTCTATCAGAGAGCAACGCAGCAAGGAGCATCCCCTTATCTGTGTAGTTACATGGTGCTGCAGGAGGAAGAGGGGATGGCGTTGAAGAGGGCTCAGCTGAGCTCAGCTCCGGGCTGGCACTGGATATTTCAGCAGCAGATCTGCACGTCTGGCATGTCTGTACCTGACTGCTGATACTCCTGGTGCTTCGCACCTGCAGAGCAGCGCGTCAGCAGAGCCCTGGCTGGCTCTGGAGTGGCAGGCAAGTGAGGGAGCTTTCACGTCAAGGTCACCACTTAACCTATCCACCCAAGCTGGTAGTGAGGGAAAGCTGCTGTCATCTGGTGGGGATGTAACTGTCCTGGAGGATGGGCAGATCCGGTGGCTCTCCCACCAAACGGCCTGAGCTGATGCCACCCCACACAGTGCTGGCAGGGCATGGGAAGACTTCCCAGTGCTCCCTCCATCCCCAGATGCAGCTCCCAGCCCCCTCACACACCAGATGAACCTGCATCTGAAACACAGCCACATCTTAGACAGAGCAGGGGACAGAGAGGTCTCCAGCAGCGAGTCCCTGGGCAGGGATGTGCTGTAGTGAAACACCAGGATGCTCCTCAGGGACAAGTCCACCACCGTCCTAGTAGGTGAAGCAGCAAATGCCACACCAAGCCTGTGTCCTTCTGCGCGTTCCTGGGGCACCTCGTCCCTCCTCTGCCTGCTGACACCTTCTCCCACAACAGGACAGCCACCTTGCATGCCCCTGCCTGCAATGGATCTGCCCAGACCTGCCTGGCTGGGGACAGCTTATGGCCTCCTTCCCGATAATCAAAGTGAACCACTGCCTTCACCACAGTCAGAGCTGAGGGCATGGGGACGACTGTGCTCTCACCCAAACCCGTGGGCCTTTGCAGGACATGGGCAGGCCCACACCAGGCACCACAGGCACCTCTCTGACACCCGCAACTGTGCTCCTCACACACAGCCACACAGCGCTGGGAGAGGTGTCCCATGTACTGGTCTGCACTGGGCAGCTTCTGTCTGTCCTTCCCGTGGCATCGTCTCTTTCATTTCTTCAGACATCTCTGCTTCTGTTTCTCATGACACTGCCTGTGGTGGCTGAGAGGGTAGGGTAAACAGCAATGAATCCATCGGCCACGTGTGCATTGACTGTTCAGCCAGACCCACATCCGGGAGCTTGTCTCATTTACAGTCCAGCAAGAGGGGGAGAACAGAGGTTTTTCTGCTGTTTGCAAGCATAGAGGATACACACACACACACACATATACATACAAAATGCACACACACATACGTATACATATGTACACATGTAAATATATATATTTAAGGAAAATCTCTTATTCCTTCAGGAGGTATGGGCTCCCAGCTTTAAGATGGCATGTGGTGATAAGTGACCTGGTCACTGTATCTCAGGAAAAGAGTCTCCTGGGCTTTGTGTCTGCAAGCTGGGGCTCATGGCTCCCGCCTGGTAGGAGCACACTGACCTCCCTGCACTGGCTACACTACCTGGCAAAAGGGAGGTAGTGTGGGCTTTTAGCTAGAAAGTGAATTTTGGGAAAAAACTCCAGGCTGATGACTCAGAAAGCAGGTCATCTCCTTACCTAGAGACTGAGCATGACACAGCACAGAGTCACAATATGCCCCATGCAAGCTCTGAACAGGTCCATGCCTTCAGGTTCATTAAGTCAATTGGCAGACGGAGTCAGGACATGAGAGAAAAGCCAGGACAGCTGTCAAGAAGAGATGGAAACTCTGCTACTCAATCCAGCTTGAAAAGTATAGAACATTTCATGCCCTGATGGCAGGGAATGGCTCTACAAGGGATGGAGGAAGGGCACTTTATCAGCCAGTGCTCCACTCTCTGGACCTCACTGCTGATGTCTGCACTGCCAGCACGGTGAATACTCCTCTGAGCTGAATGTCACAAGTGCCAGAGCTCATTTATCCCAGCCAGATCAACAGGGAAACCACACTACAGAAACTTACACACTGTTTCTTGTACCTGATTTTACTTTGCTGTCTCTGCACGCTGCAATATTGTCCAGGTGTGTTTATACTTGGATATAACAGGCATCAAATATCTAGACCTAATATCTATATTGAAAATAACCAGCTAGCCTTGTGTGGTGGGCTGACCTGAGCTGGCTGCTTAGCCCACCCAGCTGCTCCCTCACTCCGTCCCATCAGGACAGGGGTAGAAAATAAGATGGGAAGAAAGAGGAATTCAAGCACTGCTTCCCATCAGCAGGCAGATGCCCAGCCTCTGCCTGGGAAGCAGGGCCTCAGCACATGTAGCAGTTATTTGGGAAGACAAACATCATAATGCTAATGTCCCTGCCCCATCCTTCTCCTTTCCCTCAGCTTTTATTGCTGAGCACAAATAAATTAACCTTGACACCAATAAATGAATTCGAAAACCGGTTTGATTTCAGTCTGTAGGCAGAAATGTGGAAAAAGGAGTCAGAAAGTTGTTTCCTCTACCTGTAATGGTACTTTGACTTGCTGAGAGCTTTAGTAATGGCAGAAGGGGTAGATCGTCTTCTTTGGACGATGGGCTTCATCTTCTGCAAGACAAAAAGACAGTGGAGTTAGCCTGGGCACCTTGGAAGCAGATCTGCTCATGGCTCTCTGCAAGTGCTCTTTTCACCTAGATAACACTCGTGAAACCTCAGCACTGAGAGCCATGATCTGTGCTTTCAGACACCCCCTCCCCTTCCTTACTATTAAAACACTTGTCAACTCTCACATTTATGTGGGATAGTTCAAACTTTCCTAACTTGCAATGCTTTCAGTATTCATAGCTAAAATCCAAAGTAATGGCATAAAGTTAAGCAGAGAAAAAAACCTGAAACCCACAGGCTGAAGGTCAGGAAAAACTTCCTAACACTCATGCCATGGAATAGTTTGTTAAGGGAAGGTATAGGAATCCAGTTTAAAACTGGACAAAGCTATGAACAGCATATAATGCTGTAGGGAGCCATATTTTATGGGCTGAAGGAATGGATGAGGTTACTTAATAGACTTTTCTCTGTCTTAATTTTCCATGATTTACAGATTCAGCAAATAGACTGTTATTAGGCCCCTCTCCAGGTAGTGTAACCTCAAGATGCTTGCAACCTTTTTAACACTCACAGCCACCAAGTCTTGTATGACACAGAAATGAGGTGACTGTAATGGTGAGACTTGCGAGTGAGACATGATAACCATCCAAGTCAGCACATACACACGAAGGTCACAGGTCTCCCTTTATTTGCTAAATTAATTTTGTGCTGGAGAAAGATGACAGATTTGAGCCTGGGAGAGAAATCTTGCTCAGTAAGCATGGGAATGTTTGTCTCATGGCTCATTTCTAACTTCAGCATTTGCCTGTATTGGAGCTTCAAGTACTGGGAAGTTTAGAGTATGCTGAGAAATTTTGACTTCTTTTGACTTCTGAATGTATCAAAATATGGAATATCTTAAGACTAAAAGACACCAGGATTGGTGGCTGGGGAGAGGTCCTATGATTAAAGCACGTGGTTTTTATTAACTATATAATTTTCAAACTCTGTGCTGAATGCAGAAATATTCGTTCCATGTGAGCTCATTAGTCCCACCTCTGAGTAACAGCTCAGTACCTTATAACCACACTAACACAACATTCTTAGGACGTTAGAGGAACGTACTATCTCATTTCACTGATGGGAAGGCCAAGAACAAAGTGATTACAGTGAATTTGGGTGCCAGGACATCGGACCTGATTTTTCTGAACAGACAGAAAGGTTGACTTTGGGTTAGTTTGAAGCACTGTTCCCACCCACTCTCGCTGGAGCTATAGGGGCTCAGCATGCTTATGTGAGGTATCCCAGAAATTAAGAACAGGGCATTAGTGAGCACTTCAAGAGTCAGTGGAAGTGATTTACCACACTTCAGAAAAGAAATACGTGGCAGAGACTGGTGTGGAGTCCAGTCGAGGGAAGGCACACTCCTCCTCATGCCCCGTCTCATTCACAATACACCTTTTTAATTCTGCAACAACACACCAGGGCATTCTACAGGCAAGAGACAACAGACTCCTGATTCATTGCCTGATCAGCCCTCCAAAGCACAGACGACCTCATGGAAAAGAGTGCGTGATCATGTAACCCAAAGTTAGAATGGGACTGCAAGCACAATTTAAAAAAGCAATTTTCTTAACGTATAAATACTCAGCTTTGCAAATGCAGTAGCGCGCTCTAAGTAGGTTCTTTGTGTACGTGTATATATGTAGACAGCAACAACTTTGGCCTCATCCCCTGATACGACCTTGCCAAGCAAAGATCTGTCTTTGGAAGTTTCGCACAGAGAACTAAATAAAAATAACATCAGCTCAAAAATGTTTGTTTTAAAAAAAGAGAGTCCCTACTAAAACAGAACATCTGGCTTTGAGAGGTGCCTTAATAGGATAAAATGTTCCTACAAAACATAGAGCAGCAAAGCATCAGTCATGCCATATCTTAGGGTAGGAAGAAAGGATGGGTGCGGTCGGCTGGTGGAAAACCCTGGCAGGCTGTCAGCTGCAGACGGCTCTGGAGTGGACACAGCAGGCACGCAGGGCCATCGGATGCATCTGCGTGCCAGGGGCATTGCAGCAACGGCTTGAATGGCACTGTAATAAAATCCTGCGCGTCATAGTATCTTCTGTGCCAAAGAATCCTATGGCACGTAACCTTACTCTAAGCAGAGCAATCATTTTGGTCAGCCCAAAACTAGTCCCCTCTGTGGTACAACGTGGTAAGGAGTACCAGTGGCATACACATTGGTAAGGAGTACCAGTGGCGTACACGATGTGAGTGTAGTGTACGACATCAGACTCAGAATAAATTTCAAGAGAGTCAGGATTTACTACCCAGCTGCTACAGAAAGAAGTACAGGTGGATTTCTTCTCATGACCATTAGGAATGGTTTCAGACTGCATCTGAATGGGGGCAGCAATGCCCTCCAAAAAGCCTTGTCTTAGCCCACCCACTGTACTTCTCCAGAGGAGTCTGAGGACCTGTTCACTAGCACCACTTCCAGCAGGCACTGGACTACATCTGGAAGTCTCACAAAGCCAGAACTTGGGGTTTCCAGTGAAACGCTGTGGCTACAGGACACAAGGTATTCCCTATACTTGCTATCTCCAAATAAAATGCTGAGATCATCAGTTGCCCAGAGGTCCAGTTGCCTGATTCCAGACAGACTCTAGGCAAACCAGCAAATTGCCTTCCAAGCCTTCAGCCAAAGTCTCTTCGACCCTAGCAGTCAAGTATCCTCGGCAGGATACCATTGAGATGACAGTCACATCACATCAGATGATGGCCAGATCACGAGTGGCATCTTACTGAGGGAACAGAACACATATAATTGGCATAATTCCAGAGTTAACATACTTAATTTGCATATTTAATGGAGGAATAATAGATTATTCTGCCTTTGGTTTCAGTAGCCACACAAAGTAAAACAGTTGCTCATGTCCTCCTTCCCTGCTTGGCAGAACCTAGCTGTGCACCCCATTTTAAACGATTTTGGTCTGCACGGACTACCCTGTGTAAATGTTTCCTTAAGAGGCTGCTGGATGAGGACACTGCTCACACCTTGAGTGTTCTTCCAGTGCCACGTAAAACGTGCTCTGAATCCTGCATGTCCCTTGGGGTATAGTTTTACGGTTTTGTTCAAGGAAAAACCTCCCATCTCACTATGCAGAAGAAACAGCACAAGGTGTTTCTTACGCAGGGGCTCTCTGGAGAGGTCACAGCCCCCCCCGCCCTCCTCCCGACGGCTGTGCTTGAGCAGAGCTGGCAGTGCTTGGAGGGGGTGGCTGGTGGTCCACAGCACAGGGCTCGCCTGGGTGCCGGCAGCATCCTGCAGCCTTTCCCCATGAGCATCACTTTCACTGTGCCCCTCCGTGTTAGAGCCAGGGAGCACTCTGGCTGGAAGCCAGCTCTGTTCACATTAACCAGGCACTGGAATCAGACCTGCCAAAGGGACACCGCGTAATCTCTGTGCTGTTTTGGTGCCATGGAAACAGATACTCGTTTACCCAACATACCCTGAAAGTGCTTGAACACTTGCAACACTCTGGACCATGTTTGTGCATTACTCATCTCAGGGCTGCCAATTTTAGCTGTGTATTTCTTGGCACTGGGGAGGTTGTGAGTCTAATGCCCCTCATTCCAAACCCATGTATGGCCTACACTATCAGCTCAGCTGGCCAGCATGAGCTGGTTTTTTTCCCCCCACTGATCTCTGAGCTTGAATGTTATTCTTCAGACAGTTAAGGTGGGATGGAGCTGAAAAATAATGACATCTGCTTAATACAGGGTGGATTTTCCTTCAGTCAATGGCTAGTCAAAGCTTGCAATGTCCATGGCACTACAGTGGTGCTATTTAGTCACTCACGACCTGCTGATGCTATGAAAGATTGTAGGTTATGACAGCATGGACCAGAGGCCCTGATGCTTCCAGACCAAATGTGGGAGGTAGACACAGCCAAGAAGGTAGTTGGCTTGGCCCCCTGCAAGGCCAGGGCTGCCTGGATGCAGGACCAACTCCACAGTAAGCTGTGACAGATCTATAGGACTTTAAATTTCTGGGTTAATGCATATCATAGGGCTGCTGCAAAGCTGCAGACCCTGGGGCTGGGTGGGTAAGTTGGCATGAATCGAGGACATTTTCCAATGGAAACTTGCCTGGCAGGATGCTTCAAGATCCTGTATGGCAGAAGAGTTCCTTCAAAGCCCTCCCTTCATCTTACTGGAAAGTGTTTTCAAAGCAGTGTGTTTCCACAAAATGTTTGTTTTCAATTAATCTCCACTTTCCAGAGGAAAACACACTACAAGAAGGTTCCTGGGTAGCTTTGCTTTGGCCATTAGGTGTGTCATCACTGAAAGAGAGATCGAAAAGCTAGTATTAAAACAAGTGTCAGTGCGGAAATGGTAGGATGAAGCTCTGCAGAGCCTCTGCCAAGAAATGGGGCTAGCTAGCACTTTTAAAACTAGCCTGGTATGTCCACACCGCCCTGCAGTCTGTAGCAGAAGTGTCCTTCATGAGGACTGAACGCACAGCGAGGGAGATCAGTCAGTTCGCCTGTCACCACCCCACACGCTCTCTGCTGAGGCAAGGATGACAGCCATCCCCTCCCTTCTTCTTTGGCAAGGTGAGAATTGTGCACTGATTTTATGAATTGATTTATTAATTGTCCCTTGCTAGATAGAGGTGGACATCATCTAAGGATTAAGATGTGACTCCACATCTGGGATATTCACCCATCAGCGTCTAATGTGAAGGAAAAGTCTAGCTGCCCCAACGAGCTCTGAATTTAGCCTGGTTGTTTCCCCTTCTGTTCCCTCCTATGAGGTTGTTCAATGAGCTTCTGCACTGAATCTGTTGCCATCACAAGCAGGATCTAAAGAGGTTTGAAGCTGAATTTTATTACAACCCATCATAAAGAAATGAGATTGACTTCAGACCCAACACTGGACTGGCTTCCCTGTACCTAAAGGGTTAATATCAAACTCACGGAGAGGGTTAATTTAGGCCTATCCCTATTCTCAACATCCTG